TCAGTCACACTTATTGCACGTGTATAAAATCAAGCACATAGCCTTGCAGTCTCTATAAACAAACACTGGCAGTAGAATGGGTCATACTGAAGAGCTCAGCCACTTGAAACATGGCACTGTCAAAAGTCAGTTTGGGAAATCCCTGCCCTGCTAGATCTGCTCCTGTCAACTGTAAGTGCTTTTGTTGTAAAATGGAGGTATCTGGGAGCAACAACAGCTCATTTCCAAAGTGGCAGACTCACTACAGAGTTATAAACTGCTTCTAGAAGCAACATCAGCACATGAACTGTGTGTTGGGAGCTGCATGAAATGGGTTTCCATGGCCGAGCAGCTGCACACAAGTCTGAGATCATTATGTGCAATGCTAAGTGTCGGCTGGAGTGGTGTAAAACACGCCACCACTGGACTCTGGAGCAGTGGGAATGTGTTCTCTGGAGTGATGACTCACACCTCGCTCTCTGGAAGTCTGATGGATGAATCTGGGTTTGGAGGATGCCAGGAGAACGCTACCTACAGGAAAGCATAGTGCCTACAGTAAGGTTTGGTGGAGGAGGGATAATGGGCTGGGGCTGTTTTTCAGGATTTAGGTATCTTAGTTCCAGTGAAGGGTGTTGTTAATGCTACAGCATAAAAAGACATTATTTGGGGAAGACTTTTTCCTGCTCCAGCATGACTGAGCCCCTGTGTACAAAGCAGCTCTATAAAGACGTGGTTTGACACGTTTGTTGTGGAGGAACTCCAGTGGCCTGCACAAAGCCCTGACCTCAACCCCACTGAACACCTTCCCGTCCAACATCAGTGCCAAACCTCACAAATGCTCTTTTGACTGAATGGCCCAAATTCCAACAGACACACTCCAAAATCGTGTAGAAAGCTTCCCAGAAGAGTGGAGGCTGCTATTGCTGCGAAGGGAGGCGATACAATGTTGAAGCCCATGGTTTTGGAATGGGACGTCCAACAAGCTCATATAGGTGTGGCGGTCAGGTGTCCACATACTTTTGGCCATATAGTGTAAGTGAAAGTAAGCTAGCACATCCTCTACAAAGAAACACTTTTGCACATTTTAATACACAGTTATTGTTTGCTTGCTGATGCATTTTATATATTTTTCTAATATGTTAAACTCAGCAAATAAATAAAAATTGCCCTCAAATTTTCAGAAAATGTAAAGTGTGTTCCCTGTAGAGGATGTGTTAACTAATTTTCACCGGGGGCATTCAAACGTTTGCGTACAATTATATCATTTTTCCAGCATCCAGAGAGAAATTTACAATACAGTTCAAATATACAAAAATGCAATCATAATAAATGCATTCATAAATCCTAAATTAAGCTCTCGTAGTTTAAGGCAGATAAGGGATCACAATTCACATCAAGACATTGAGAAAGTACAGTATGGCACACAGTTTTCATAGGCAACATTTCGGAATTAGGGTTTTTTGGCCTGTTAGAAATGAACTGTAAAACTGAAAAATGCTTAAGTTGTGGTTGCTTATCAGGGCGGAGCCTGAGACCTCAGCACGTTAACCTTTGCAGACATACTCCCTCAAGTCTGTTAAGGAAATGAAAATGTTTAGTGAGGAAAATAATGATCAAGCTCTTACTGGTTTAAACCTGCCGCGACCTGCGTGACCCTGCATGGGCTTCTGTCTAATTGCAACCACATTGGGCAGGAAATGAACTGGGGAAGACCCCCACTGAAACACCAAGATTAACTTTCCCAAGCAGGGTGTCCTCGCTCTTGGTTTCTACACACAGAGCAGATATTCAAACCCATGTGCAGTGACTCGGTGCACAACACTCTAAGCTGGCATCTTAGCTGGCATTTGCGCTGGCATCTGGGCTGGAATCTGATGAAAGATATTCCCTTAATGAGTCCAGTAGAGCAGAACGGGGCACAACCTAACACATTTTGGTCTTTGCTCAATAATTTAAAAAGTATTTGAGCAAAATTAAGAATGTTTCATAACAGCAACCAACACATATAGTGGTTTCTGGACTCCTCTCACTGTTTACTTTGGGAGACTTTGTTGTAACGATGTGAAAAAGAGGAATTCCAATGATTTTTCAAAATGGCAACAAACTCATTCAGAGTGGTTTGGTGTGAAGTGGTTGATGTGGAGAGATTGTAGAGTTGATTGTAGATTTCTTTACAGTGGTGGTGATAGGAACCAGGGGTTGCCATGACTACAACACAAATATAGCCATTTTATTCACTATCCAAAACCAAGAGTGAACCTACACGAGTCTTCTGGGTTTTATATGCAAAGTTGATGGTAAAATAGTGATAAATCTGAAAATATAAGTTTTCTTTGGGGACTATTTTGCTATACATTGTCCTGCATGTACCTCTCCACCATGAATAGACTGTAAAAAGACGTTTTAGGCCAAAAGCTTCTCAAAGTATCGCGAAGCAATGTCTCAGAAATCAGGCAGTGTATTTATAACCATTTCCGGTAACACTTTACTGTAGGGTGCTGTTTATAAGGCTACATGACACCTACATAACTGTTTATAAATGCTTATTATAACAGGCGTCACCTGTCATAAAGGCAACTTTAGCTGACTTTGATCAAAATTGGCAAATGTAACCTTTATAGCAAATGCCGATTATTGGAGCAAGCATTTATAAACAGTTTTATGTAGGGTTATGTAGGTGTCATGTTGCCTTATGAACAGCACCCTACAGTAAAGTGTTATCCCATTTCCTGTGAAATATGTTTGAGTAGATTTTAAAGGCATTAATATAGTTTAGATGCTTTGACTATTCAGACTCGGGTAACACTTTATGATATGATTGCCCTAATAAAGTGTTTCTGAATGGTTTAAATATTTTTATTAGTGGTTATTAACCCCTAAAAATCATCCCAGACTCATTACATACTAATGCTTATTATTCAGTGACTACAGGGCCTTTAATGCAAACTGCTTGAGCTATACTCTTAAAAAAGATGGTTCTTCAAGGGTTCTTTAGCAAAGAAAATGGTTCTATATAGATCTATGAACACTTAAAGAACCGTTTACATGATTAAATGGGTCTCTGCATGGTGAAGCGGTTCTATACGGCACCAAAAAGGGTTCTTGTTTTGTTACAAGCTTGATATAGTAACAATAGCAGAACCCTTTGTGGTGCTATATAGAACCCTTTTCAAAAGCCATCTACAGCACATTCTACATCAATCTGAAGAACCATTTGACCATGCAGAGACCCATTTAATCATGCAAATGGTTCTTTGAGTATTCATAGTGCTACATAGAACCATGTTCTTTGCTAAAGAACCCTTGAAGAATTAAGAGTGTATTCTTAGGTTATAGCGGTGATAAAACTTTGGGCCTGCCGGTGGATCCTGGCCATTTAAGGGGTTAATTCAGTCATAAATATCTTAATCATTAGGCAGTTATAATACATGAATAAACAGCGCAGCTGTGACCTGTTGCTTGCCAAATAGTGAGCCCACATTCATCTACACTGTTGAGCATTAGATCCTGCTGGTTACTGATCTTACTTGGTCTTCTCCATCAGTCAGCATTAAACCTGTCAGCTTATCAGATATTTGTTAATATGCTAATATCATTTAACCACCAACAGCATTTCTGACCAATAAGACATCATCATTTAGCTTATGTTAAGACATATAATTATGTTCATATGTTTATATAGTTTATCTACAAGATAGCTTTTCACATCAAACTCTGAATGACTTTGTTTACATCTTAACCACTCAATTATGAAGACGTACGAATTGGAATTCCCATTTTTTCCATTATTTCCCATTATTTAAATGCTTTAAAATGGCACTATAATACGCCACCAAGAAGGAGATTGAAATGATACTGGAATGGATTCTGTGACTTTCTCACACAACTCAAATACAAAATATTTATGATGAAAATGATACTTTCATGGTACAAAAATGTGGTAAATAAATCCTGTATTTACAATTCTTAATAAATGCATTTCTAAAGTGTTATATGATGAGCATAAAACCTTACTATGCCTGACCTAAGCCTGTATCATTACTTATAAGTAGTTAATGTACATGCATAATAAGAAGTAGGAAGTATTAATTACATGCATAACATTTCATAAAGCAAGCAGAACACGAAAGTATAATGTTAGATATTCTAACACATTATAATATCCACTCAAAAGACCACTGTAAACATAATGTTGTGATGCACCATAACAAGGTTTAAGTGTATTTCCTGTATATATGCAACCTGACTTTATAAACTCTGACTTTGGCTTTATGAAGTATTATGTGTGTAACTATACAAGCTTATGGTAGGTTACATGTGCCACATAACGCCTTATAAATGCATTTATTACGCATTGTGAATATACAGGAAGTGTTATTAAAACATCTTCAGGGTCCATTCAGAGTGATTCTGGAAAAATGTCCGATTGCTGTGAAAATCCGTAGATAATGTTGTTATAAAAATACGAGAAGATGACAAAAATCATGCTTTTGAACTGTCTTCCTACATAAAATATGCTATATATACTTAAAAAAAATATTTTTTCAAGGATTCTTTAGCAAAGGCAACGGTTCTATTTAGAACCATGAGTTCTATAGGGAAGCATTTGCATGCTTCTGTGGTTCTTTGCATATTGAAATGGTTCTTCAGATTGATAGAGAATGTGTTGTATATGTTTCTGTATTGAACTTTTTGGAAAATGGTTCTATATAGTTTTGCTACTGCTGCACGCTTGACATCATAGCAATAGCAGAACCCGTTTTGATGCTATATAGAACCATATACAACACATTCTCCATCAATCTGAAGAACCATTTCACCATGCAAAGAACAATTTAAGCATGCAGATGTTTCTAAATAGAACTCAGGGTTCTAAATAGAACCATTGCCTTTACTAAGGAACTTGAAGAACCACCTTTTTGAGGGGTTGAGGATGTGCCCTGCTCTTCTCTACAACCGAAACTTGTATGTATGTCTTCTTAGAGGTCATATAAGATCCAGATGAAGTATATATCTCACTCTTAGTCTGACGTGTTGAGCGATGGCTTAGACTTGCTAGTAGCCTGGGCAACTTTGGAGCTGGTGGGTCGGTTTAAAGCTCGGCAGATGAATTCTCCTGCCTCTATGACTTTGGACAGATCCACTCCCTGCAGAACAGAGCAGCAGTTAGGTCAGACCTACAGCAGGGGGTGCAATAGAAAAAGAAACCCAGCTGGTTCTCAGGGTTTAGTGGGTGTGGATAAGGGTGTGGGAGAAACTGTAGACCATAATTACCGCAAACACAGCTCCACCAGTATATCAGGTTTGTAAGTGCCGGGAACAATTGGGCAAAACAAAAGCTTAGAAGTTTCTTTTCGGTAAATGAGCCACTTTATAAGTCTTAAAGGGCCTGAAGAGATTTGTTACCCACAACTGTTGGAGCAATAATATGGAGGGAGGAAGTTCAAGCATTTTCAAGTGCTGTAATAACAATCAATGCTCCCTTTGTGTTTTAAACAAGAAAAGAACACACTCACCGTTTCGATACCCAGTCCGTGCAGCATATACACGACGTCCTCTGTTGAAACATTACCGGATGCCCCCTTGGCGTATGGGCAGCCTCCAAGGCCTGCAACTGAGGAATCCACCACAGAAACCCCCATCTGCCAACAAGACGTGAAAAACGGGGCAATCAATACCCAACTGTATGGCTAGAGGGTGAAAAGCTGGAGAACAATACCGGCCATTATCTTCTGCAGCACTGTACAGTTTCTAAGTGCCTCTGTTTTTTGGAAATAGGCATGTATGGAACAGCTGGTACATTACAAAGCACCTGTGCCTTCTGCTGGAGGTCCAGTTAAACCAGGGATTGTGTATTCTACACTGGGGATTATCAGTGTGCGAGGTGAAACAAACAGGTGTGATAAACGTGCTCTTTCTAAAAGCTTTATGCCGATTTTTCGATGGTGTTATACAAAAAACTGAGAATGCAATTGAGCAGCTTTCATAAATTTCATGAATAATGCTTGGTTTTGGCCACTGGGACGTTTAAACCTTATGAGAAGATGACAAAAATCATGCTTTTGAATTGTTTTACTATATAAAATATTGTTATACATACTTAAGATGTTTTCAAGGGTTTTTTAGCAAAGGCAATGGTTCTGTTTAGAACCATTGGTTCTATATAGAAGCATTTGCCTGCTTCAGTGGTTCTTTGCATATTGAAATGGTTCCTCAGATTGCTGGCGAACGTGTTGAACCTTTTGGAAAATTGTTCTATCTAGTACAAAAAAGGGTTCTGCTATTGGTACAAGCTTGACATTGTAAGAAGAACCATATACAAAAACATTCTCCATCAATTCGAAGATCCATTTCAGTACGCAAAGAACCACGGAAGCATGCGTATGCTCTATATAGAACTCATGGTTCCAAATAGAACCGTTGCCTTCGCTAAAGAACCCTGGAAAAACACACTTTATTAATAAATAACAATACTTTATTTGGAAAACAATTCAAGAGCATGATTTTTGTCATCTTCTCGTATTTTTATAACATTATCTACAAATTTTCACAGCAATCGAACATTTTTCCAGAATCACCCTGGAAAATGGACCCTGAAGATGATTTAACACTTCCTGTACATTCGTAATGCTTTATAAGTGAGTTTATTAGGCATTATGTGGTTTATGTAAACACCTCATGCTATATACACCTGATGCTATATAGAACCATAGACAACACATTCTCCATCAAGCTGAAGAACCATTTCACCATGCAAAGAACAATTTAAGCATGCAGATGTTTCTAAATAGAACTCACGGTTCTAAATAGAACCACTGTCTTTACTAAAGAACCCTTGAAGAACCGTCTTTTTTGAGGGGTTGAGGATGTGCTCTTCTCTTCAGCTGAAACTTGTATGTATGCCTTCTTAGAGGTCGTGTAAGATCCAGGTGAAGTGTGTATCTCACTTTTAGGCTGAAATTTACTTCCATAAATTTCATGAATAATTCTTGGTTTTGGCCACTGGGACGTTTAAACCATAGGCAATCAAATAAATCAAACCAAGGCACAATGTCTCACTCTTCTTGTGGTCCTGAATAAATACGGCTCTCACATATGAAAAAATAATCACCTGTGAAATGTTCCTCCTGTCTTTCCGAACTTCCCCAGCGTCAGTCCGAACAGCGCAATGCCGCAATCACTGTAATTGTAGAAACCTGCTGCCGTGTGAGAGAAGGACCACAAAGTGTCTGGCCTCCATATGAGAATTAATGATGCGTTCTGGGCCGTTCCTGCTTGTCTGAGCTTTTGTTGGACCGCTCGACCAAACGGCCCAAGAAGTGTTGCTTAGTGCAGGATTTGACGTTTCTCTCCGGCGTCGATGTTTACTTTAAGAAAGCATACTCCCTTTGTGTTCACGCTGGCAAAACAGCGCATATACATTTCTGCTCGCAGGAACTGAGAATCATTCTAGGCTCTGTTTTCTATTTCTTCATGATGATTAAGGTGCTAAAGCAGCTCCTGACTGCTAAACAGTTCTTTTTTATTCTGTCCCAAGTGGTACCAGCTGAACTAGGAGCTAATTGGACACTGGTTTTCAGTTTGTATCACTCTGGACTGAGGGTTCTTCTCTTTAGGGGGAAATTCTCCCTGTAAAATGAGAGCTGCTCATCAAAATTCTAGAGATTCCCAACACAGTCAATTATAGAGAGAGATTGAGATGCTACACTTGGATTGTGTCTAGAGATGGTGCGATATCACTTTTTCTTTGCCTATACTGATACTGAAATTTCCGATATTGAATATTGGCTGATACCGATACTGACCCAATATTTTTTCTTTAAAACTATTAAACTTTAAAATAAGCTTTTTTTCAGACGTAGCCACCAATTTTTGAGGTAATGTGAAATTCAGGCGGTCTTGGTGTGACAGTTACGAAATAAAGCACTGCTGATGAGACAAAACCTTGTTGATTTTCGTTTTTTGACATAATTTGAAAATGCATGTTACTCTTTGCATTGTGTGTGAATTTCATAATGAACTGACCAAAAGAAACAGCTCAAAATTACTTGGGGGAAAAAAAGTCTGATTTCATTGACTTACATTAAAAGTAAAGTATGTTTTTTTCATCTACTGTAAAGTCATTTTGGAGATACAAGGCTTTGTTCAGACAGCGGCGATAGCCTATATGATCTATAAAACATGTTAGAGTGAGTTTTCCATAAAATCTCCCACACAGTCATATTGTGTTAATTAGCAGGCTTCCATTCAGTTTCACATATTTTAAAGGGCCAATGTGCTGTTTTTTTTTCTTGTATTTTATTGTTTTTTACTCTTGAGGTCCACTTATGACATTTGTGTGGTTTTACATAGTAAAAACAGTCATAACTCATTTTTACATAACCTCTTTCCATTTGAATCAAACAGGCTATTATTGTTCCTGTGCTTTAAGACTGATATATGTTAATGAGCTTTCTTCTGATTGGGTATATACCACATTAAAAAATTAATCTGATCTAAAACACTTCTTATAACCTCAGGGTCACTAGATTGCTGTCGGCTGAAAACTGTAAATGGGTTGATTTTTTTTCATCACAACAACAGTTTATTTAAAATGGACTTTGTAGCTTAGTTTCTGTGTATGGACTGTATGGACTGGGCAGTTTATTTAAAAAAGCAAGGCAATTTTTCCCTTTCGATATGTGTCCTTTGAGCAATTTTTTTTCTAAAAATAGGTATAAGAAAATGCAAATTAATCAGTGATTTCATCAGCTGCTGTGTGATGTACGCCGCAAGACAAGAGCCGTACACAACGGAAGGAGTCAAATCTTTATTGTCCCTCTATAGAGCAGATTTGACAGCCCTCTGTCAGTTGGACATGCCTGTACAGTTCAGAGATGCTGGGCAGTAGTCTGTTTAATGAGGGCTGAAGTTGCTGTCTCATTTTGCTGTCGTCCACTGAAGCCAAACAGTTCTGAAAGGACATATAGCCAAACGGTTTTATTCCAGCTACACCAGCACTTCTACGAAAAGCACTCAAGCATAAAAACGTCTGGTAAGACCTACTTGAATGATGCTCTATAACACTGACATTATCATGCCATAAACATATCGTAGTGATGTCATTATGCTGTCATGAGCCGTCATGATAAAATCTATTCCTTAATATTAGAGTGTGATGTTACCATCACCAGTAATTGCCACTATGTCACAAGCTGAGTGTGCTCTAGTTAGCGCAATGAATTCAAACATTATAACATCTGTCACAACAATTAACAGTAACTGTTATACTACAGGACTGGGCATTTATGGCATGCTTGTGTCAATGTTACACAGCAGGGTTCCGGTAAAGTGTTACCAAACCAAAGTTTAGACAATTTTTGAATGACTGGCTTTTGAACTTTTTTTTGTGAACTAGAAAAACCCCTAGGCACACAGTTGTATGTGAGAGTTTGAACAACCCCAGTCAAATTACACATTTTGTAGAATGAAAACAAGTCAACACACTTAAATGTGACATTTTTCTGCTAATTGTAGTGAACGACTTCTATTTATTCACTGAGTTTAACATATTGGAAAAAGTAAAACACATTTATATAATGAGCCATTTTTTTTTTGTTACAAGCTACAAAACTTTTTGTGCACTAAATTGTGTACTAAAATTAGCAAAAAAATGTCATATTTAAGTGTATTAACTTGTTTTATATACCAAAAACAATCATAACTCATTTTTACATAGCTATTTTCCAACCTCTATTTCCATTTGAATTAAACAGGCCATTTTTGTTCCCGTGCCTTTAAGACTGATTTACGTAAATAAGCTGTCTTCCGATTGGGTCCCCTGAATACTGAATTAAAAACAGTCTGTACTAAACCAATATGTTAAATTCAGCGAAATAGACAATGATTGGTGTTTAAGTGTGCAGTAGTGTGTTCTCTGAATGTCACTTAACTTATTTTCTCTTAGTAAATCAACAGCAGCATGTAATTTGACCGGGGTGCCTAAACTTTTGCACAAGTTTAAGTGCAGGTGTGCTTTGTTCCCTTAGCATTAGGTTTAAATTCCTTCTCCCAACTTCTCAGACCAAATTAGCACCCCTGCATCTGAAAGTAGCCGTACCTGCTATCAGACCAGCGCTATCTCTAGCTGAAGCTCATTGCTTTGAGACACCCAGCTTTATGACGAGATTACATTTGGACGGTTCACACCTGGTACTATCTGTTCAGAGTGGAGCTCAATAACGGCCTCATTTACCTGTTTTCTCAACAGATGTTTCTCTCAATCAGCTGACCCATGGAAAAGAGTCAGCGGAGTGGAAAGGCCTTTCCCCGGCAGGTCTACTGCCTCGCTGGCTCCATGCAGCTGGGGTAAATAGTCACGTGCTGCATTATCCCTTGGAGACTGTGGGCTTACAGCCACTGGAGTTGTTACGGAAGCTTCTGGAAGCCTTTGTATTTGTCCTTACAAATTACAAAGTCGAGCATGTATCTTTCTTTCTGCTCTTGCAGAGGCAATGCAGATTAAGATATCAGAATGTTTTCCACATGTCCCGCTCGACTGTCAGGAGAATATTAAATACGTTTTCCAGCTTCTCAGGCAAAGCCAGATGTCGGAGCGGTAGAGGAGGAGGGTGGTGGTGGTGGTGGTGGTAGTGGAAGGGAA